CAATCTCTCGTCTCTTTATTGTGAATCATAGTTGTGCAGCAGTATACGCCTCCTACCACAAGACTATCTTAATTACAAGACCACCTTCATTAAAGAGAACGAAAAGTACGGCGAACTACGTCTTGCTCAGGCCAGATCGCTTATAAGAATCGACGTCAACAAGACGAGAAAAATGTACAACTTTTTTGTCGATAAAGGATGGGTTTTAAAACCTGAAGATTAATACAAGCAAGGTACACGGCATTTCCATAACAACGCCCCTCCCTCCTGAACCCGAGCTTGCCCCAAACTCCCTCAGAGCGGCTAGGAACGCCTGGATACATACGTTATTCCAGAGCTTCGAAAAAAGCAATCACGGACCATATATATATTATTCATTCGTGATATCCATGAACAAAAACTTTACTATTGGGTATTCAGAGTGCAACAAAAAAATGGCGACTGGATTAGGAAATCTTTAGATGGCTGTTTGTAAAAAAAACCCTTATTGATATGCTAGATAATTGCAAATTATAAACATTTGTTGTACTTGGTTTTTGTTGGCCAGCTCCCAGCGCCGTCGACAAACATATCGGCGCTGACCAAGAAAACGAAGGCTCCGCGGTGTACGAGATTGAGAAATGTAACTATAACAAGATCATACCATATTGCACAAATCTTTGTACAAATTTAAAATTTCAAAACAATATTTTGCAGATATTTTGATAATTGATTCGTCTTTCATTTATAATGCATATAGAAATAAGCTATTTCCCATGATAATTTTAAAAGAATTACTTTAAAAGATTTTCTAAGGAGCTTGAGAACCATTTTAACATTATTACATGACATTAGATTTGTTTATCCGTTTAAAAAAGCGGTTTGAAGAGAAAAAAATAACTCGTGTCAACAGCACCTTGACAGATATTGGCAGGACGCTTTGAATAATTTAGTTCCAATCAATTTCTATTAAGCTAGGGCATATATTGAAAAGTATGAGACCACCTCAGACACTTCAGTCAGAACTAGATCTGAAGGTCTCTGAAGCAACATGGGTGCAGCTATTAGCGATATTCAAAAATCCTCCAACGAAGAAGTCAAGGAACAGATTGCTTTAATGCTGGAAATGGCCTCTGCAATAATGAAGGGAGAAACAGCGTCTCTTGAAGGAAAGGCGTTCAAAGACAAGTCTTTGCCCATTGTCGCAGTCGTAGATCAGAAAAGATCATCTTCTATGAACGCCTCGGCAGAGGCTTCTAATCTTGGTGGTAAAGTTGAGAATACCCTCAACAAACTGTTCTCTGGAAATGTACTTGGCGCTTTAAAGACTGCTATTACTAGTGGTCTAACTTTGTTCCTGGGAAAGGCGACCGAGGGACGATCAGAAGCCAACCAGTTCCACGTCGTATACCAAAACTGTGCATTTTTGCGCATTGACATCTACTTCTACAAGTATGTTTTCTCCTCCCAGGCGGTTAAAGAGGTTACAAGCGATCTGTTCTGCTATGTTTCTCAAGTTGGGGTAATCGATCCTAGAAAGATGCACTCGCAGGTAGTTCTATACGAGCTGGCAAAGTCTCTTCCTCTCGAGAATATTGAAGAAGCCAAAAAACAAATGTTAGCAGAGACGGAGTTCGCAGGAGATCTTTATGACAACATAAAGCGCTTGGCCGGTTACGCCCTCGAAGGAAAAAAAGGTGGAAGAAGGCCCCTCCTAAAAAGTGGAGAGGATCATGAACAAACGGAAGACGACGAAGAATTCTAGAAAAAAAGAAAGCTGCGGAGCTATAAAAAGAAAGTGCACCTTTCTTAGTCTTAACTTAGTATAACCAAATATTAGAATATTCACGTAGTACATAATTAAGATGTATGTAACTCAGGATCTTGATGATGTTTTGGTGGAATTTTTCTGCTAGGAATAAGGGGACTTTTAAACTAAAATGCAGTTGTATAACGAAGTATCTAATAATGATTGTATGTAACTGATCATCTTAATTATCTTGGTATTATGGATTGCCCCTTACCCTCTTGTAAGAACCTGCATTTTAAGAACCTGTTTGCCAAAAAAATATCAATTCAGTCGCCATTTACATAAGAAGCTATAAAATTAGGGATAGTTTTTAAAAAAGTTCTTACAGAAATTAACCTAATAACATCTTTATGCAAAAAAAAAAAACAAAAAAACCCCGTCAAACCATGTCAAACTGTTGTGAACTTCAACATGTATACACTTGTAAATTTGGTATAAATAATCAGTTTGAACCATGACCTTCATACATAAGTAATAAATAACCTATATTAACAAGAGCAAAAATGGCTTCACGCTCGGGGCATTTTACAGTCATTTCAAAGAGTTCGATATCGATAAAATGTGTTTATATGCCATTCTATTGACCCAAAATTATGGAGAATAGCTTTGACAAAGATTTTGGACTGATTTTTTGGAAATTTGGGATAATTTGAAGCGGTTTTGGTCGTTCTCGATGAGTCTGATTCAGCCACTGGCGCGACACTGGCCGCTGTTTTGTCAGGAGACGGCATTGTAATTGTTTTTGAAACGAACCGGAAAACAAAGGGACCACTGCAAACTGTATACATAGTGTTTCAAGTAAACGAGACCAACGTGAAGACATAGTTGTACTGATATGACCTTTTATCGGAATGATCATAGTTACTAACTATGGAATGATCGAAAGAGACATCCATCCGACCAGTCAATCGGAGGAAAACTCGCTAATGATTTCAACTTGTTCTTTTTTAATAAGATCCTTGATATCCGAACAAATTTTAAAAGCTCTGCACCACCCTCTACTGAAGATCGTGACTTGCCATGTGGTTTCTCTGACTTTAATGAACCATCTGATTCAAATATCATAGACATTATACAATCAATATCATCCCAAGACCTGCAATCTTGATTCCTATTCTTGATCCTATTCAACTGGTTCCCAGCTATTGCAGCAATTGTACGTACCTCACTTAAATTCCCTACGTCACTTAAGACTACAGTTGTTCGACCCAAGCTTAAGGTGTTTTGATCGTAATAAATAGCGCTTCGCGTGTATATTTTCAAACTCCAACTACGTCGCAAATTTCGATTCCATTGCACTCATAATTGATATAATGATGAAATTTCAATAAAATCTTAACCTAAAATTTCGAGTTGATTGAGCAAAATGATGTACATTCGAACAACTCGAAATTTTAGGTTAAGATTTTATTGAAACTTTGTCAGTATATCAATTATGTTATTAAGAAATGATTCTGAAAATTTTATTACAATCTCTGCGATGAGTTTTGAGAAAATTAACTTTGAAGAAAAATGAAGGTGTTTTTATTTTGMATCGTTTRTCYAAATGGCTTCGCTTTTTGGCAAATTAATTTATTTACAAGAATTATCGATAATCACTGTTACTTCTGTGAAAATTTGAGTGCAATGGAATCGAAATTTGCGACGTAGTTGGAGTTTAAAAATACACGCGAAGCGCTATTTATTACGTTGTTCCAGAGTTATCGACCAGTGGCAAACATCACATTCATCGCTAAAGTCATCGAGAAATCTGTTGCCATCAATGAAAACGCCCTACTTCCTTCCTTTCAATCTGCCTATCGTCCGCATCACTCTACGGAGACCGCACTTGTGCGAGTTACCAACGATATTCTAAAGGCTCTTCCGTGATTCACGGAATGATATCATACTCGTAATGCTAGATCTCTCAGCTACATTCGATACACTTGATCATGACATTCTACTGAAACGCCTACATTCCTACTGTGGATTTAAAGATACTGCTTTGACCTGGTTTAAATCATATCTTTTGGACCGCATTCAATTCGTCAGCATTGGGAAATCGTCATCAACACCCCGTGATTTACAATTTACAATTGATTACAGGTGCCAAAAAAAGAGACCACATTATTACAGTCCTTCACGATCTGCACTGGTTGCCGATACATGCTAGGCTTGAATTCAAGATCCTTCTACCCACCTATAAATGCCTCCATAACCAAGCTACGTCATACCTGTCTGATCTCATCAAACCTTACAAACCTACCCGGAAACTACGCTCTTCTACAAAGTCTCTACTACAGTCAAACTGTCGTCCTAATACTCAGTACTATGATGAAAGATCTTTTTCATTTTCTGCACCTAAACTATGGAACATCCTACCCGAACATATTAAAACTTCTCCGTCTGTTGACAGTTTCAAATCTAGCCTAAAGACATATTTATTTAGACGTCATTTTTATACTAATTAATGTTTATTTATGATTATTGTTAACGCAATGAGATTTTATGATTGCGTCCTAAAAACTTTATTATTATTATTATTATTATTATTATTATTATTATTATTATTATTATTATTATTATTATTATTATTATTATTATTATTATTATTATTATTATTATTATTTTCTCATGTGAATATTGAGAAATTCATTTTATTCTCACATTCCTTAAATCCAATACTCGATTCTTTTTTTTATTATATCGTGCAAGATTTGTTCCCGCGTAAAGTAGAAACATGGGTTCAGCCATCAGCGACTTGAAAGAAAGCTGTTTATCACCTACAGACAAGGAACGACTAACATTTTTAGAGGAAATGGCCTATAATATCTTAAAGGTTGAAGAAGCTTCCCTGCAAACCAAAGCCTATCAAGACAAGTGTCTCCCAATTGTAGAAGTCATACATCGGTACAAGATAAGCGCCATGAACGCCACCGCAAAGGATTCTTGTCTCTGTGAGAACGTTGGGTCGGTCGTCAGACAGATTTTCTCTGGACGCATTTACCATGGACTAAAGGAAGCGATTTCTGATGACCTGCAATTGTTCTTGGAGGATGAATCCACGACAAGATGAGAAGTGTACCAGTTTCACGTCGCATACCAAAACAATACATTTGTAACGGTTAATGTTTACTTTTACAAATACATACTGAATTATGAAAACTACGAATTCACCTCGGACCATAGGCTTCGCGCTCGGAGTTCTATTCTTTCTTTTTCTTCTTTTTCTGAGTCCAAAGAGAGTCCGACTTGTAGCAAGTCTACTCGGACCATTGGAAAGGGCCTTCCAGCAATCTCTTCTGCTGTGTTTCACTAGTCGGAGTTCTCGATCCTATCAAGATGTACTATCACATAGTTTCGAAGTCGTTGCCTAGTCTTGCCGAAATATTTTATGATGCAAAACCTAAACTAGAGCAAGAGGCACAAGAGATAGAAGTCCTTTATCAATTAATTAGACGCCTTGACATCTACAGGGATCTTGAACTAACGCATGATAGATCGATACACGGAAGTTACCCACTTCCAGGATTAGGGCTTTATGATTCCATTGAAGCCCTAGCCAAATACGCCCTTAATCATGTACCTGAAACTCCACGAATATTAGGAAAAAAGCAATCAAAGAAAGGTGGAGAACTACAATTAACAATCAGAAGTTGCTCCTACGAAAAGTGATAGCACACCGAAGAAAACGACGATAATATAGATGCACATCACCAAGAAATGCTTCCTTTAAGTGTGAAGTCGTAGTCTGTTCCTCGAAAAAAATGATCAGTAACACTCATTGACTTTATTTTGAACTTTCAAAGCATAGAGACAAGGAAAGGCTTTAAAACTACTTGTTACAGCATATTGATTAGACATTTATTGTACAATATATATCGGCTCTCACCCGAGTTCCCTTTCCATGAGAGGAAGAGAGAGAAAGACTGGTACTCTAAGCCCGATCTATCTCTCTAATCCGTGAGAACTAAAAAAAAGGATAATTCAAAATAACATTTAATGTTAGCAATGCTGTTTTTCTCCATATTATTCAATAACCTTACTTTTGTAAGGTTATTATCACTTTATTAAATTTTAATACTTTATTTTATGAATGTATGTGTCTTTATACAGTTTTCTATTCGATTTTATTCAATACTATATTTTGAACTGGAACGGTTGAGTGATCGAGGCTAGACAAGGAAAAAAAAAACAATTTTTATAAATAGATTAAGAGGGTAGGGCGGAAGTTATATATTTTGTGATCTGTGAAGCTACGTCTCATTAGTCGTCACAGAAAAACGCGTTTCATGATTTACTGTTAAGAGCTCATGAATGATTCAAAATCTTTTCTCTAGTTCTCCCAACAATTCCGCTCGTTTAATTTCTAACAGAGAATAGAAACACGGAAAATATCTTCTGTTTTTACAAAATCGAAAAACTCATATGTGTTCTCATAGAAATGCACCCTCAGCCTAGCCTCCTCCGCAGGCATCCCTTCAGGTCTTTAGGGCCTCGTGTGCGTTCAGTGTCCTCACGTCCTATCATATAGCTAACACAGGAAGCCCGGTCAGAAAATGTTCAGGAGCTGCCTGCCGAGGAAGCTAGTTTCAGCCAATCGATGTGCGCGTTATATAATAGTTATTATCTTCTTTGCGATTGGCCTGATATTGTACTTTCATCATTCTTTGTAGATCCATACTTCTATGTACTAGATGGCCATGTACTGCAAATATCAAGAAAAAGGATGCGCAACATGAAAATATAGAAAAACTGTCCAAGATGAAAAAAATCTTTATCCCGCTGGGTTTTTTTCAATAGCCGAGTTTAGATATTTTGGTTCAGTGACCATGCACAAARGAATTGCAGACGAGGCTCCGGGGAAATAAGGAATAAAACGATATTATACGCTCTTTGATTGGTCATTTTGAAGTGTGCACTTCAAAATAACTCTTTGCAATATTAAAAAAAATAAAATTATCAATGGATAATCTTGATTTATTCTTTATTTCCCCGGAGCCTCGTCTGCAATTCTTTTGTGCATGGTCACTGAACCAAAATATCTAAACTCGGCTATT